CTAAACAAGAAATCTACTGCCTTGTGGAGTGAAGCAGTAGGATAGATTGCTGTTCTTGTTGAAGATGGTTCTTGAGAGGACTTGTCCCACACTTCGGCTGCAAAGATTTACAGAACCCTTTTGAATTTCTCCAGCTTTCAGTCAAGATTCACTAAGAATGCCTAAGTGATGCCCTGAACAATTTCTGTTATACTGCAGTTTTGAAAAAGGGGATTTCAGTGCCCCAAACAGACTGGGGCCCCTCTGAAGACTCCCTGTTCATTTTTTAATAGGTCCCTTATTAATTTCACATATTTGAACTTGCAATTTTAACACAACTGTGTTAAATCTGCAGCCAACTAGAAACACCATTTTTAGAGCTGATGTTTTAATAGCTTCAATACTGCATTTCTTGTTTCTGATGGTTGTCTTGTCTGCTCCAGCTTTTTCTTCTTTGCAGACTTAGTGAATTGATTCTGTTTCACTGGCTCATGACTTGGCCAAACATAGAAGAAAGGTGGAAGACTGGTTACCTGAAGGCAACATGCCTCTACTGGAAAAATAATTGTTTCCTGTAAGGATACGTCTGTCTGTGTATATGGATACATATGCAAGTATATTTGAGATTTTGTATAACATATATAATTGGTTTTGAGTGCATTCAAATGAGTAAAAGACATAATAGCCATGAGCAACAGAGGAATTGGTTTTTAACCAGAGGAAAAAAAAAAGACCTCTTCCCATCAAAAGTTTTAAAAAGCCCTTAAAGACCACGTGGTGTCTGATAGCAACAAGGGAGTTAGCACTCATGCAGATGTCAGATGTCACTCTCATGTGCTTTTGCTTAAAATATGTTACTTAAAATGATGTAATCATTAGCTGTCACTCTCATGTGCTTTTGCTTAAAATATGTTACTTAAAACGATGTAGTGAATATCTGTCTGACACCTGGGAGAGAGCCCAGGGCATACTGATAGCAATAGGATGTTCTTCAATGGCTGTCGAGTCACTTGCTCAGAAATGGGAGAGCAGACACCAAGTGAGACTTGACCACAGCCAGCAATTAATGATTTAGAGCACTCTTAAACCTTGGAGGTTAAATAAATATGAATGATTTTCATACTGACTAACTACTAATACTATAGGAAACAAGGTAAATTAATTTCCAAGTAGGTAACAAGATTTAATTTAGTAGTGTATTGTACTCCTATGAGTCATATTTTCAGTAAAATAGTTGATTGTGGTAACCCTTTGCTGTACATGGTGTTCTTGTAAATTCTTGCAGTGGGGATAAATTAATTTGTATTGCTAACTAGCACTAAAGTGGTGCACTCTTCCTACTGATAAGTTCTTGAAATCCAGGAAAAATAAAGATTTTAGTGGCTATTTTTATAGTCTGATTATGGGTGAAAATCATAGGTTTTTAAAATCTAGAAACACAGCCATTCCAAGGATGCAAAGTTTAAGCATTCAAAAACAGATGCCTGATTTCAAACCAGCTTTTGTTTTTTAATGTTAATATTCCAAACCATCCTATTATCCATGCAATGAATATAAATCACAGTTCCTTTCTGTAACTGTCCTTTATAATACTGTACTTAGTTTCTGTCTGGGATTATATTTGGCAGTCATTTTCTGAAATATTATTTTGCAAAATTCAAACAATGGAAAATAAATAGATGTAGGATATAAAGCCATTAAAGGCCTAAAGGTCATTAACTGCACTGAAACATGAACATATTTATCAGATCTATTTAGATTAATAAAATTAAACTTACAAAACGCCATCTAGACTTCAAAAAATGCTGAGCTTGATTTTTATGTGGAGCAGCTTTATCACACTACAAAATGCTTACTTGGTCATACCACTGTGATTATCAAATGATGGTGAGCAAAGCAACCCTTATAAAAGAAGTCCACTTTACATGCTATGAAGGTCATTACAGAAAACTCCAGGTGGAGAAAAGCAGCACAGAGATGCCATCTAGCAGTAACTCTTAGAAATTTCCAACTATCCTATGGATATTTCCTTCTTGCAAGATACTGCACTTATGAGTAGGAGAAGGAAGGAAGATTTTTCTATCCAAATCCTTTCAGTGTAGCTGACTTTCTGCTAAATGTATAGCCACCCTGTTGGAAATAAATCTTTAATGAAATATATTATAATTGATAATTAAAAAAAATTTCTTATGTAAATACAGAGAAAAAATAGAATAAAGTCAACAAACATAATGTTTAATAAGTATCTTAAATTGAAATTCAGTAATTAGCACTGTGTTAAAATTTATCACTAGTGAGCTGCCTTCCAGTTTTTAAAGAAGAATTTCTAAAGGTGATTAATATTTTATATCAAGTTTAAAAGAAAGAATTCAAGAGCATGGACAATAAATTACTATGGTTGAAATAAAATCTTAATGTTTCAGAGACTGGGAAATAAACAATCTATAAATTTTTGTTACATATTTTACCATAAGATGGCGATACTTAAACACTTTACTATCAGTAAATAACTGAGTAAGTTCAGCACAACATCTCTGTCATAACAAGAGTGCCTGGAGACAGCAGTCTTGACTCAGCGATAGCCTGGTACTAAATTAAAGATTTTTTTTACTCCCCAAGGCATTATTTTAAAATAGTTGATCAATAAAACCTGAAAATTATGTAGGACATGACTAGAAATGTATTGTGTATACCAGAAATATGTGTTGTGATTCATCTCCATTATAAGATAAGCAGTTTGTGAGTGTCAAGGGCATGTAGAAAGTTGTCTTTCTAGGCATGAGCATACTGCACAATTCCTTCTGGAAAAGAAAGAATTTACCATTCCCTTGTTTCTTACAAATCATAGATTTGCTTTCCAAACTGCAGGGCAGAAAATTATTATTTTACTTCAATTTAGCATAAAGCAAGAGAAATAATTGAGCACTAATTCCATTTCTGAAGTGTGTTCAATCAGAACTTGTACTTTTCTGCTAGAAAAATGTTGTTAAAATTTTACATACATAATTTTACACAGAAGTATGAAATATATTGTTCATAGTCAACAAAAAATACTGTTTGCTATGTGACACCTTCTTATGTTTAATGTGGTGTAGGATCCACTTGATCTCACTTTTTTAATTTATGAAAACCCAATTAGCTCTGATAAAAAACAGACTTCCAATTTTAATATAATCTTAAGGACTTTTGAGCTTTTTTAGTCCTGACCCTTGACAAAGTCAAAAGAGCCTGGAAAGAACATCTGAATATCTCTGAAAATGTCACACAGAGTGATGAATAAAAGGCCATTTTCATGCCCTTTGCACAGCATGGCACAGCAAAAAGGGCTGGAAGCACAGCTTCCAAAGTTCATTTGTGCCATTTCATTTCAGTGCCTCATCCTGTTTTCCAGTGCTGGATGGTGACAGAGACAGAAAATGGAACATTTTTTCCCAGAGTTATTTTGGGGTCTGAACTAAAAAGAATTGCTCTGCCAGATCTGTTTGCTTCATTAGTGGTTTTACTCTTCTGTGGACATAGAAGGATATAAATTTGCTTTTCTTGCTTTTATGCAGTCTCTTTAGTAGATCTTGCTAAATGCAATAGAAGACAGAAAAATAAAGAAAATGAGTGTATGGAAACCTGTAGTTATGATGAGACCATGTGCTGCTGTTCACACAGATGTGAAACTCCCGTGTGTGCACTGTTTGATGAGTCTCCTTACAGGTACAGCAATACCTGACTTCCAAATAGCTTTTATTTAATGAAGCTGATAGAACTAATTTCTTAGTTAACATTATTAATCCTCTATCACCTCCTGCTTTTTTAAGTTGTCACTACATCTTACTGATTGAAAAGCAGTCAGAATACTGCAGCTGTAAATCAGATTTCCACTGAATTGCTTTTTAGGTTCTGTTTTTGTTTTCAAAGAGGAGCATCCCTTCCATATTGTTGGACATTCAGTATATATTTGTATATGTACAGATTGATATCTTTATTTCAAATGGAAAACCTGCCAGAGGAGCTGAGCGTTGCCTCACACCATTGTCAGGTACCTGACTGGTACCATTAATATGACATTCACCACCATGCAATGTAAATCGTGGCAACGTAGCACAGAGTGCTGCTGGTAATGGACTGCAACACTATAGCAATGTTTTCTATTGTCACATTTTCTCTTTCTCACATTTTTATAATATCACAGTTACAAGACTCTATGCCACAAAAAAACCCGTCAAATGAGACAAGTTCTCCATCTATAAAATACAGCACTACAGACATCTGCAGACCTGGGGGCTTTCAGTCATTACTGCTTCTAAGTGGCAGAGTGCAATTCTGGATTTCTAAACGACTTAATCTGAAATCTCCTTCACCAGCCAGGCTGCACGACTAAAATCTATTGTTGACTTTTATCATTGTTTCAATTTCAGCCGCGATCTCTTGGTGACTTGAACACGTTTGTAAATAACAGAACTGCAGCAGCCCGAAGCGTGGCTGTAGTACTAAATTCAGAGTCTTCACGTGACGCCTCCAGTTTCACTCTAAACAAATTTATTTCCAGTCGGAGGCTGCCCATCCCCGCTTCCAGCGCCTCGCTGCTTCCCCAGAGCTGGTGCAGTCACCCGGCGCTATGAACGCCTCCCTGTCTGGAGCGGGATGGATCGCCGCCGGTTCGCGCTGGACAGCGACCGGCCTTGGACAGCGACCGGGCACGGCAGCGCCGTCCGTGCCCCTGCGGCGGGCACAGCCCAGCTCCGGCGGGCACAGCCCAGCTCCTGCGGGCACAGCCCAGCTCCGGCGGGCACAGCCCAGCTCCTGCGGGCAAGCGAGCTCCTGCCGGGGGCTGCGGCTGCGGGGGTGCCCTGCTCTGCGCGCCCGGGCAGGGAACCGGGGCCGGGGCTCTCCTCTCCGTCCTGGCCGCTCGGACAGCCAAGGACACCCCCCGCCTCTCCCCGGAGCCACCCGGAGCATCGCCCGCTACCGCGGACGCCGTGCGCGGGCAGGCTCCGCCGCTGCGAACTTGCCGCCCAGCCGGCTCCTACCTTGGAGGGATCGAGGCCGGCCAGCAAGGACAGCAGCAGGAGGTTGAGGATGCTGGCGGGCGCCCGCATCCTGATCCCGGGGCTGCCTCTCCGCGCCGCTCCTCTCGGTCATTCACTCCGCTCCCGCCGCAGCGACCGCGCCGGCAGCCGCGCTCTCTGCCCGCCCGCCGGAGCCCGAGTGGAGGCGGCAGCGGCAGCCGCCCCGGGGACGCTCATTCCGTGGGCAGCCTCGGCGCGGGGAGGGCGGGCGAGGACGGCGCTGCCCGAGCTGGCGGAGCGGCTCCGCGGCCCCGTCCCACTCCGCCCCTCCCCTCCCCCCGGCCAGCCCACCGCAAAACTTTGGGCCCGGGAGACGGCGGAGCCGGTGCGGCTGAGCGGGCGGGCGCGGGCGGCGGATGTGACATCAGCGCCGGCGGGAGGGCGCGCGGGCGGGGGGCGCGGGCGGTGCGGGGGCTCCGGGCAGCGGCCGCGCGTGAGGGGAGGCGTGGCCGGGCCGCTGGGGGGCGCGGTGCCCCCGTGAGGCGGGGCGGGCCCGCCGACCCCCCCGTGAGGGTGGCCCGGTGCCTCCAGTAGGGCGGCCCCGCCGAGCCCACCCCCGGTTATCCCCCCGGTAGTGGCTGGCGCAGGCCCGAGCCTCTATGGAGGGCAGCTGTAGGCGGGGAGGAGCCGCTGTCCCGAAAGGAGCGCCTGGCACCATGGCAAGGGTGGGTTGATGAGGGGAACTGCGGGAAGAGGCTTTTCCTCAGGGGAATCCCATTCTCATCTCCGTCTAGAAAGTTAAATCAGGGCTTGACTGAGCTCTGGTGAGGCTAAAGCCAGCCATGCTTTCCAGCTGGCCTATTGGACTATCGCGTCTCCTTGGTTTGGCCTGTGAGCTGAAGCCTGTGCAGGTGCAGGCAGGTAGGGGTCATTTGCTGAGGGAAACCCTTGAAAGCCTGCCCGAGGGCAAGCAGGAGTTTCCTTTTCCCTACATCAGCCACCATCTTTGCAGTCAAGGCAGCGCTGTTTTGCCAGTCAGGGCTCTGCCTTGGCTGCTGTCCCTGTGCAGGTCAGTTTCACAGGACACTTCCACAGGTCGGTTTCCCAGGACGGTTTCACAGGTCAATTTCACAGTACAGGGATTTGGCTTCCTCAGGCGTGTGCCTTCAGCGCAGCTGAGCATGGCCCAAGTGTAAGTAAGTGCACTATCCTGTTAACATGGGTGAAGCATCCTAATGGTTCAATTATTTTCCCTTAGAAGACTCAAACTCAAGACCTATGGTCTGGGTAATCTTATTTATGATACAGTTAAGATTATTATAAATGTGTGGTAAACATCTATTTTAGCTTTACAGTTGGAAATTTTTTGATCTTAACTCGATTCTCTGGGGGTTTCACTGTGTGCTTTTTAAGCATCCTGTACAGAAAGGCCAACACTGTTGTGCCTTTTTTTTTTTTTTTTTTAGGTTCTATATAATCTTAACTAAGGGAAAAGTGGGTTAAAAATATCCTTAAAGAAGCAAAACTTGAGTGTTAAAATACCAAACTCCAGACAAAACAAAACCCCAAGTTTGGGAGGGTTTAGGATAAGTGTGAACAGAACATGATTTTCTAACTCTCCAAGTCCACAAGATTGGTGTCGTTTGCCTTGAGCAGCTAAGACCACTGCTAAAAGACAAATGGAGATTTGTGCTTACAGGCTGTCTGAAAAGATTGCACATCCTTGGCATAATGCTTCCAGATCAAAAATGCTTACTTTTCCTGTAATTTCCAGTGTTTTATTGCATTTTTGAATTGCTTCTAGGATTACAATTACTAGATTTTGTTTTTTGAATGAATTAAAATGTATATTTTATGCTAAGATGTCTTAGATACCCCCTTTTCATCAGCAGCATCTTTTACAGAGATACAGTCTTTCATTTCCTTGGAAGGTAGGTCTGCAAATTATGTTTCCTTATGGCTTGGAAAGGAAATTATGAATGAGCTTTCATTGACATTCCAGGGTCAACAATGGAAAGAGATTCCCCTCTGATGCAGCTGCCTTTGAATTATCTTCTAAAAGGAAAATATAAAAGATACAGAAAGGAGATTAGATTTTTTTTTTTAACCCTCCTGTAGAAAGTATGTAAAACCCCTATTTTCTATTAAGTGGCACTAAAAAAATATAAAAGAGGACATCCATGTATATTCATATGAATTCAATATGAAGTAATGGTACCAATGCACTGAAAACCTCAGGTTGTCCAAAGGAAAAAGTGAATGGTGCTTTCAGCAGAAACAATTTCATATGGAAAAAGGCCATAAATTCAAAGCCACAAAGGCAAGATTGAAGGTATTTAATCTTTTCTAGAGCACCTCAGTGACTAGTTCCCTAATTTTCCCTAGCTTTATTTTTCCCCATGCTTTTCTCCCCTTCTTTTTATCTCAGTTTATCATAGATAAAGTTGGCGAAGCATACGAACTATTAAATTAATCATAGAATGCAAAGTTTTTAAGGAGCTTCAGTGATACAGTATGTTTTTCCACTTCCTGATGCTGCTTGGAATATCTGCCTTTGAAATCAGTAAAATATTGAAGAGTTAAGTTAAAAAATAAAACCAGTAGTTCGGCTAAAAACACAAACCTTCAGAACTCTGAACTTCTCAGATACTTTTATGTGTTACAAACTAATAATTTGTTTGATATATGAAGAAGTACCAAAATATGTTTCAAAAGGATAACATAAAATGACCCAATTCTTTTCTTCTTGATTTTTATAATATATTTAGAAGAAAATGAAAATATGTAATAAACAGGTTCTTCTACCATCTAGCAATCTGACAAGTAATTTCTTTTTGACAGAAAAGACTGTCTGAAGACTGGTGAGAATCATTAGGAATTAGTACCTGAAATAATTTGGTTTGTTAAAGTTTATCTGAAAATTCAAGTTCTCATGAGAAGTTTTGATTTCTGCCATACACCCTGAAGCAGCAAGAGAATACCTGATTGTGAAGATCTCTCTCTAGCAAAGCTTTTAATCATCTTTAAAAATCTATGAAATTCTGTGTGAATGACATTTCTTCTTGAGGTCTTTGTTTGGGGACTGACTGCTGCAGTCAGTGTGAAATACATGATTGTGAGAGAGGAGACACCAAAAGCTTTCCTGCAGGCATCAAGGGCCAGAGTGTTAGCAGAGTGGAGGCACGCTGTGAGTGCAGCTTGTCTGGATGGGGAGGGATGTTCTCAGTGTGTGCCTGCATTACAGCAGCTTTCCTCCACAGCACATTGTGAGATCTATTGCTGGCAGTTGGGTAAGGCACAGGCTTGTTCACTCGGGTGCATGGAAAGCAAAGTTGATAAATTGGCTGTAGGTACCAAATTACATATAAGTAAGTTTGAAGTTCTGCAGTCTGAGTTTGGCAGCTGGAAAGCAGTGATGGGTGTCACGGTCATGTTTTCTGGAAAAATCCCTTTGCCAGGATTTCTTGTCCTGGGAAGCTGAGAAGCCTCAGAGAAAAATGAAAACAATAATTATCTGATTGCTTCTCCTGTGTTTTGCTGCTTTGGAATGTGGTTGGAGATTGTTTATCCAACAGGTGGTGGTTTGATTGGTTTCATGTGAATTGTTTTTACTTAATGACCAGTCACCATCCGGCTGTGTCGGGACTCTGGAGAGTCACAGGTTTTTAATTAGTATCTTGTTAAGCCTTCTGTAAATATCCTTTCTCTATTCTTTAGTATAGTTTAGTATAGCATTCTTTAATATAATATAAGTACATAAAATAATAAATTAGCCTTATAAGAACATGGAGTCACATTCATTCCTTCCTGCCATGGGGGGCCCCAGAAAATACCACAATAGGAGTTATGAAAAAGGATACCTCACATGTGTATCTGTGGAAAGGCAATCTTTGTTTGTAGCAGGTAATATCTGAAAACTTTAGAATTGCAGTGCTAACAAATTTTTCCAAACAGGAAACTTAATTAAATTGGTCTTATACCTAATACTTAATGGGTGTTGAATTTTCTACTGGGTTAAGAAGGTGGTCTGGATTTTGAATTTTAGGCATTCTCCTGATTGTGAGAATGAAAAATTTAGGAATTGGAAAGAAGGGTTGAATACTGGCCCTTGTTGATGTTAGCTGCTCTGAAATGTCCTTGAAGAGGATAAATTTGTTCTTCACTGCAGAAAAGATTTTGATATCTCAAGGAAGCTAAAGAGATAGAAAAAGGTAGAAACAAAACTAAGCTATCATTGGTGCAGAAGCTAAGCTTTTTGACACAGTGTATTTGTTTACATTTGGAAGGAACATAACAGAAACAGAATACATGAAGTTTTTAAAAATCAGATGATTATAAAAATTTGTAAAAAATTAATTTAATTTAGCCAGTGAAGAGTATATGGATGTTAAATAAAATATAAAAGTGTTGCATATGTGGGACAAAATTCATGGTGGGACTACTTTATATTATTAAATTTGCTAATATTTTGATAGTTTTTAGCATCAGATTGAAGTACAATTTATAATTATCCATCATATTAGCAGAGTAATTTTTGGAATCTGTCAATACTATGAGCTTGCTTTCTAATCCACATCTGTATTAGTTAAAATATCAAAATGAGGCTTTAAAAGCATATTTTGTCAGTCTAACTGTCCTAGTGATGACTATTTTTCTAAACAGAGAATTTTTTTTGAAGTCCTACTCTTCCCTGAAAAATGTATTTTGATTTTTTGTATGTTTTCAGAATTAAAAGGTGGCTAAATAATTGTTGAAAATAAATTTAGGAGTGGATGTTTTTCCTACTCCTTCCAATTTAGAAGTGAGTCTTTCAAAAGAATTTTTGTTACTCAGAGTTGTTTTAGGAACTTTTTTGTGAACATTAACTTTCTTTGCATATCTCTGTAAGAGTGCACTGAAAGTAGTTAAAATCCAAGTTTCTGCAGAAAAGCAGTGCTGTTATTTCCTGGTGAGCTCGTGCTGGTGCCAGTGGTGAGATGTGCTGTGATGTGAGGAGCTCTGAGTCAGCATCAATGTTGCTGTCTCCCTCAACAAACATGAAATACCTGATGGATGGACAGAAACATTTAGGTACTGGGTGATGTGGACAGGTTTAACAGAGAACCAGTGACTCGGGCACCTCTTTAACTCTTTGTTTAAAGCTAATCTGTATCTAGAATTTACTTTTGCCAAAGTTTAAGTTTGACCTTAATTTTCATTGGAGAAGAAATGGCCTTAGTAAAGTATTCCCAC